AGTGTATGGAGGTTTCAAGTAATAACAGCCCTTCTGAGTAATTCTTAACTGGTTATAAATGCTCCTCTTAGAGGTTTTCTGAAGATACCAGAATAAAAACTTTTTAATGTAGAGTCATTAAAAGAAAAGAAACGGTATGTTTTCCAAGGGAGTGGTTGTCAGATCTCTTATGATTGTTCTGTAGATTACCACTTCAAGAAAACTAACAAAATGGTTATTGGATTTAAAAGGTATTCTCTGTAAGTAAATGTCACTGTTAAATACCTCAGCTATTATGTTTGTGTTTGCATTACTTTAGGGATTTAGATGGTACCATTTGCATATTTTATCCAATTCTCTAATGTTCACTTTGTGAGTTAAAATCAAGATAAATTGCGTAAATGGAACAGCTTGCTGGCTGTGGATAAGCTGATTTAAACTACTGTACATGGGATGAAAAGTAAGGAGCTTTGTTATTCGGAAGACACACACACAGTATGCTTTGTTTGTGAAAGTGACATGTTTAATAGCGTGCAAGTTTTAGTTTGAAATCAAAGCAGAGTCTATAGAAATATAGTTAAGACTGACATCTTTGCCTTGGGAGGGGAAGGCTAAGAATGTTTTGAGGTACTCTTAATTACATGGTGTTCTCTTCCCCCTTCTCTTTATCTACTGTGCACAACGTTTTCTTCTAACAGCATGATGTGCCTTTCCTTGTTTTCCTTAAAGGAGGTCTAGCCAGCCCAGGAATGGTTGGCAAAGCCTGGCCTGTGGCATTTAGAAGTTCCTTTCTGATAGTCTGCCTAGAAATCTGTTCTTTCACCTTCAAATTTCTCCTTTAAAGTTTTGTAAGAGATTGACTTTTGGTCCCCCAAGTTGATGTTTTATTTTTAAATACTCACCTAGCCTGCATTTTTTGATACTAAGCATCTCCCACAGGTCTAATCTTCCTGTTTGTAATTTTCATGGATCTTAAGCGGGACCATTGTTGCCTATCCTTCTAAAACAACGTGGAGGGACATGACCAATTACTACCCTCAGATCTACTTATCTTGACATCCTTTTCTCTTTGCAAAATATTTTGTTGCTTCCCTTCATTTGTCTGCCTTTGGTTCATTGACCACCAAATAACGGCTGAGTTTTCTTTTCCTGTGAGTACGTGAGTGAAGATAATAATAATGGCCAGTCTTCGCGAGCGAAGATAAATTTTTTGTATAATGGCACCACATTTTTCAGCTAAGTCTGCCCTCCTTGCACATCTAGAGTAAATGTGTAATCTGTTTATGAGCTATTAAGAAACTTTGCTACAAGGGTGTTTCTTTGAGATGTGTTAGGCTGCCATGAGGACCCACGGTTACTGTTATGTGCTAGTAGTCCCTGAATTGGGGATTTTGAGCTGTGCCGTGGATTTTCTGTGATTAGAAATGAGAATAGTCTTAAAAGCTGCATGAAAGCTTCAAATGACATATTTATGTAATGCTATTCTACATATGGTGCAGCAGGTCAGCATGCTCTACAGCAACTTCTCCGTTTGTTTAAACCCTGGGTATAGTACAGGGTTCACAGTACAGAGGGACTGAAGGGATAGATTGAAGGTAGACAGTAGTATTGGTAAGAAGGAGAAAAGTTAGGAAGCATGCAGATAAAAAAGACATCAAATTGCAGTAGCCATTGCCCCTTGAACTCTCTCTCTCCCTGCCTTCTTCCTTCCCTTCTCACAGATTTCGTTAGCAAACTGCTAACAACTTTCTGAATGTACTGTAAGAGACTTCTTTTCTTCCCTATCCCACCAAGAGAGAGTGAGCGAGGGGCTCTGTAGGGCTTAGTTGCTGGCCAGGGTTAAACCATACCAAATTGTTTTTTACAAAGTGTGTGTTGTGTTGTAAATGATAATACAGAAGTAATATGTTTCTTCCACATCTGGCTTAATAATGTGTTTTACTGGTTTATTCTCTGTCGCACTCAAGCGTAAGTGTAATCAAATGAGTACTCTTCTGTGAAAACACACAGGGAAGGTATTGAGAAATTAGATTCCAAACTACCAGGATGCTAAAAAATAAGCAAAATGCATTTTTGTAACAATTTTGGTTATGTCAGAGAGCACAAAAGTGTCTGGCATTGAGGCAGGCTCTGCCCCTGGCTGCACACTGAGTTGTCTATTGCTTGTATGCAGACCTGCCAACGTAAGCGTTTATGGAAGAGTACATCACATGGATAGGATGTGCATGGATGGAGAGGTAGCAAAGTTTTTTTTCCTCATTTGTTCTGTAATGTAACGATGAATTTTTCACAATATTTTTTTCTGTGTAAAAAACACAGGAACTTACAGATTTGCTCTTCACACTGTTAGAAATGACTCAACATCAATCACTCCTTCATACCCACTTCAAAATTGCCAGTGGGAATGCCCTGATGGAGGGAGGCAAGACCACACCATCTGAGAGTAATTACTGCTCTTGTGACAAGGAATGGCAGCCAGCTGCCTTTCCATTTTCTCATGGCACTAGCAGGGAAGGAGAGGGGCATTGCTTTCTGCTTTGCATTTCTCCTCTGGGAAGGGAGGCAGACTCTCCACAGTACTAGAGGGGAAGGTCAAAGTGTTAGTAAAGATTTTGACTCATTTTGGCTTCTGTCCTTCTTCAGACAGGTTTTCACACAGATAGCACAAGTGTATTTTCTGTTGCACATTTGCCATGGGTTTCATTAGGAGCTAGAACTTCACTAACCTTGAACATTCATCAGAATTATGAGTTATTGCCGCTCAATCATCTAGCTGCTGCTGTTAAACACTAAAAATCAGAAAATAGCCTATTTTTCTCTGCACAGTAAACTGAAAATGCTTCAGGCCAACCTAAACTGAGCTGCAATTGGAAATGAACAGGTTGGTGCTGCTGAGCTGTTCCGGGCAATGGCAGTGCCAGTGGAGGCTGCCTGTGCTGACAAGATGGCTGGAGCATACAAAACAGTCTCACTGCAGGAAAGGGGACTGTGCAGAAATCCAGAGCTACTTCTGCAGTGAAAGCTACCTTTTGTGCCATGGATTTAACCCAGGGCCTTATGAAGTCAGCAGAAGGGTTTCTCTGGGGATTAGAGTCAGGTCTCTGTCACAGGTAGTGTCTGGGTTACTTTTAAGTGCTGTGTTTCAGTAAATGTACGGCAGACAGAGAATGAGCTTTTCTGAGCATGGCAGGGCTTGCAGTGTCCTGTTTCAGGCTCCTTCAGGTGAAGCTCTGTGAAACAAAGCACTGCTGTGCTTGCAGGGCCACAGGGGCACGGAGGTGCTCCTCTCAGGGATGTGGTTTCCCTGCCTCGGAGCAGGGCTGACAGCCCTCCTCCTGCCAGCCTTGGAGCAGTGGGCCCTGCCTAAAAAATAAACCAATTAGCCTTTAAAAAGGGCTCTCTCATTTCTATAATCCTTTTTGTAGAAGGAATTTGCTGAAGCAGCGGGATCTGTGGCTCTGCTCTTTTCACCTTCCATGCCACAGTCCTGCAGGGAATTCACCTGGTTACAGACTACTAAGATGAACATCTCTGCTATGAGATTAATTGATTGCGATTGCAAGTGTCTGTTATTCTCACATTGTTTAAACGTAGGAAGGGGAGAGAGAAGAAAAACACACCATAAATAGACTCTATTGATCTTAAGTTCTATTTATTTTCATATGTTTAGTGAAAAAGCATGCCCATGCTTGAAAACATTATAAATGTAATCAGATGTTCCCTGTAACAGGTTGAAGTAAAAATGTGTACTGATGTTATGCTTAAAGAGCATTTAGAGCATTTGACAGTTGTTTTTTAAATGACTTTTCTGCTTACCCTTTAATTATGCTCATCACTTTCTTTTACCCTGTTACTTATTTTCTTACTTCCTAAGATTAGGAAAAAAGCAGTATGTTAATTTCCCTTTTAAATTTTTAAGCTAATATTTATCTCTGAATTTGAAAACTGATAACCAGAGAGAAAAACTTCACTGCAAAAAATTTTCTTTAATTATCTTAGTAAGTAGGAATAGTCTCAAATGAGTACAGTGTGTCATGCCGAAGGAGTGACAGCTGAGGAGAGCTGTCACTGATAGTTCTCATATAGCACACCTCCTCTCTGGTACCCATGAGCTGGATGGTGACTCCATTGCCTGATGGGCTTCTTCAAGGTGTTGACAGAAATATGCAACTTCTTCAAATAAATTCTGACCAGTGGCCATGCTTTACTCAGAAAATGCCAGGAGTGGATGTAGTTATTTAGGAAGGATGGAAGTGAAATGACCCACAAAAGAGTGTCAGTTTTCAGAATCCCATTACTTCTGTTCTTTTTACGGAAGGAGCACTGCTTTCTGGACACTTACAAGCATCAAGTAATGACTAATATTCTGACTCTTGGATTCAATTTAAATACAGAATACATGCAGAATGCTTCATATGGGTTTTGGGACTTTTTTGGTACATGTGCTCTGAAGGTCATTAGGAAGACATGATCCTGAGAGTATAATATAAGACCAAAATAGGAAATATTTTCACTTCATATAATGTTTCATGAAAGAAATAAAAAGAAAGAAATCACAAACTTCTAAAAATAAAACGTGTTTGCATGTAAGTCTATTTCTGACAAAAGGAAAATGGTCTATGGGTTATGACTATGTATAATGCTTTAAATTAGAGCTCTATCATTTAAATTCACATGAAGATTACGGGTAATTTTGTAGTTGACTTAGAACTATTCCAGTTTAAATAACCTGAGTATTTGCCATTTGTAATTCTGAGAATATAGTTTATGCTATACATTGCCTAATAGAGAGTTCCCAGGACCACAAAACTGTCTTTTTGCCAAATGTTACATGCACAGATTTCATGAAGTGGTCTGCAGCTTTGCAGGAACTAGGGCAAGCTCTGTAAGTAGAGCATGTCAGGTAATTATTCAAATTTTTTTTTATGCTAGAAATTAACACATTTGTTCTGTGGTGGATGTCTTTCTGAGATTTCTGTGAAATCTCTAACAAAGTTGCTTATCTGTTGTTTCACCTACAGGTACATTTATGTTCCAATGGGAGGATCTCAGTCCAGTTTGCTTGGAATGCTATTTTCTACAGCCCTCACTTTTGCCTTTGTAAGCTATTGGCACGGAGGACAGAGTTATTTGTGGTACTGGGGCGCACTTAATTGGTTTGGAGTAATTGTGGAAAATGGCATCAAGAGGATACTTTCTATTTCACTTATTCAAGATTTAATTGTAAGTTGAATCTCTCTTTATTTCTGTTCTTGTTTCCTGGCTCCATGCTCATCTGAAGTTCCTGGTTACTAGTTTGGTTTAACCAAGATTAAAGTCATGGATAACAGATAAAAGAGTTAGCATTCCCTTGCTCACCCTCCAGTATCTGCAGTAGTAGCTAGTTCATATAACTGGAATTTTGCAAAGTATCATTAAAGCAAACAGTGGAAATATGCGTGGTCTTAAAAGCTTCCTCTGCAGTCCTAGAGTAAGCAAATGCTTGTCACGTTGTATATGGCTGAACAGAAGCCAGTTTTAACATTTGTATTCTGATTTCACTCAGGATGGCCTTAAAATATTCATCTTCACTAAAATTAGGAGTGTATATTTCTAACCATGTGTTTCCTGGACAAATGAGCATGTAGCAGCTGCTTGCATCTGGGAACAAGCTTACACTGGGAAATGTTATGCCACTAAAGATCCAAGTAAAGAAACTATTATTTTGCCTTGAAGTCCTCTGATATTTTCACTTTACTTATACTTTTGACCTTCATGCTGTCATTTCCAAAGGACAAAATTGACTTTGACATGCAGTCATATGCAAAAAGCACTATTTTAATTTTTAAAAAATTTTAATGACTATTTTTTAATGTTGATGGTCATTTTAATCTGCAGGTTTGCTCTCTACTTAATCCCAAATCTTCCAATAACTGTAAGAATAAATAATTCATATGCCTTGCTTCCTTCCTGTGATAAGGCACAGAATTTCTACTCCTATATAGTGTTGTTGGAGTAGAGAACTCACTCTGCAGCCTGATGGAATCCTGATGCTCAAGTAATGATGCTTGTTCTCCATCCCAGCCATTTCAGTTTTCACTGTTGTAGCATCCCATGTGTGGTAGCTGATGCAACTCAGTAATTTAGGAGCCAATAACAGCCAGTGCTACCTTATATCACCCAATTGTCCATCGCTGTGATTTCAGTGATAGTCTGGAAGCAGCTTTTTACCTTCCTAGAGAAGGAGTTTATCAGATCCGTTAATCTTCCCTCTAGGGTGTAACTGAGCTTCACCATCTGATCGGCTGCATATGTTTGTCTCTAGGCTGGAGGACAACATAGCTTTTTAGGCATCCAGCTGTATGTGGAAATTTAATTGTAGGGGCTTTTTATCTGGTGTCACATATAGTAGAAATTTTAAAAGAACTCTTAAGGAATTAAGTGCTTAAATATCACAGAAATTATAATGGCTGTGGCATTATGAAGGTGGGGGGTTTATATATTGGATTAATTTCTAACATGTAGTTCTACTTATAGTTAACTGATGCTGGCACGAGGGTTCTTTTTTTGCATAAATGAACTCCCTAACAATGAACCCAGTGCATTTTACTCCCTTTCCTCTTCTTTGTTTTCATCCAGTGTTTTTATTGGCCTATCTAGTGTCTTCCATGTCTCCTTGTTTGTTCATTTCTGTTTGGAAACATAGCTGTTGACCTTCCTTAGAAGACACTTTCACATCTTTCCCTGAAATATTTCTGAAGCCAATATTTTTAATATGAATACTCTTGGCATCTAAATTAGTGCATTAGACAGATCTTGCTGCATTCAGTAATGGCTGAGTCATGATTTGCCTTGTGCCTTGAAGGTTTCTCTACAATGATGTGAGCTACAATCTTTGCAAACCGCTCCTTATTGCTCTTTCCTCACTCTTCTAACTAACTCCCATTTTCTTCTTGAATGTTGAGACTGGAGAACAGATGAGTAGTTGGATTTTGACATTTCCTTATCAAGAACATGACATTCTCTGAGATGTACCACTTTTGAAAGAAACCGAAAATTTCTTAATGCCCTGTATAAATTTCCCCCATGTAATTTGGCTTTTGGAAACATTTCTATAATCCTGTCTTAGTGAGAGGTGTGCTGCAAGCCTAGTCACTATGGTGTTGAAGACTCCCTTCTGGGGGCTGGGTTTTTCACTTAAATGTCATCTGTTGACAAGCTGAAATCCTTTGCATTCTTGAGCTTCACTCAGTGTCTGTGTTGGCTCTTGAGGCCTATTTTTGAGAAGGAAAGTTTATTTTTGTCCCCAGAATAGCAGATGAGTTTCTGAAAATATACAAAGCACAGGTATACGCTTTTTTTAACCCATTCTGTTTACCAAACCTCCTCATGTATTATTGTTAAATTGAGTTACATAGTTAAGTTGAGCAGGAGGTATTTAATTAATAAAATATAAAATATCTAGAAGTGTAAGTTGAATTTTAATTCTCTGTTTTTAAGATGGAATTAATGACAAATAATAACAAAAACGGTATCAAAACTGTCTCCTTTCCCCCCCATATTGTCTCAATTTTCTTGCAAAGGGAAGATTTAGAAATCTAAATAAAGCACATTCAAGTCTCATCCTTCACTGAATCCTTGTGTGACTAAATATATATATACATATATATATATAAAGACCCTATATTTATGCAGATTTTATGGTAGTTTCAGTCTCAGCACTTCAAACCTAGTGCAATATGAGGAAATAACACTTTTGTAGCAGTCTGACATGTTTTAAATGTCATCTCAGGCATATTGAGCTAGAATGAACAAAGAAGCATGGGCATTATTTGTGAGAAGTAAAATTGGCATACAAAGAACTATTTACCGAAAACAGTAAATTTCCTGACCCCAAAAAATTGGTTCTGAAACTTTTTCATTTGTACTGGTTTCAAACCAATGTGTGGCTTCCTGATTTCAGCTTTAAAAGAGCTGATTCTCCTTATGTACTTTTCGGCTTACACAGTTCTGAACTTTCATGTTTCAGTAAGTTGTGTTATGAGAAGTTGTCTACATATCTTTTTTTCCCCCAGAGATTAATTGTTAGTTATCGGTAAATTAGAACTGAATTAATTAATATTGTCTTTTCAGCAAAACATTATGTATAGAACAAAAATAAATGCTATGCATTGTAAACTAGGGCTTATCTGGGAACTTTATATTAAACGGGAGAAGTTTCATTGTGTTTCTAGCAATTTATTTTTTTTTTAATTTTTCAAGTGATATTTAGACCTGTACTGAGCAAAGTAGTGCTTTGCTTCACTGATTCAGTATTCATTTCTTACAGATGAACAGAGACTCCAGTGGTAACTCATTTGAAATCAGCGATAGAATTTGTATTGACTTTTAATAAATAATGTGTCAGATTTCTGAAAGAAAATGCTTATGACTATCCTTCTTGCAGCGTTTTAATTTTTTTTCCTTAAGGAAAGCGACATATAGATCTATCAAAAAAATTAGATCTTGGTACAAAAATAGATTTAGAATTATTTGAACCTTAGAATAGCTGGCAACACCTTTAAATCAATGGATTTTTAAAAAAGAAATATTTGGAAATCATCCAAAAGGAAGACGTAACAAGGGTGGGTGAAGTTGGCAGATGGATAAAATTAAAGTTTTAATGTAAATTGAAACAGAAACATTTATCTTTTTAGTTCTTTCTTACAGTGAAAACATGTCATTCAGTTTAGTAAGATTTTTTTAATTGAGTTGTAAAGGTCCCTCTTTTAACAATCACACTATGATGAATTTTTAGTTTAAGATCTTATTTCTAGATTTATTTAGTAAGAAGCTAAATATACCATAAAAAATTCATTTTGAGAAACCAACTAATTTTAAGCATGGTGTATTTTAAAGTAATTTGTACTATCCTTGTAAATGTTTTGGTTTTTTTAAAGTATAAAATACTTTGATTTCTACATTTTCATTTATGGCTGGAATGAGGTGCACTAATTAATTCTATTTCAGTATGCTGAAATTTCCTACCCAACCCCTCTTTGCAAAAGGGAAAATATTTTGTATGATGTCCATGATTTTGATTAGTGTGATTCCTCTTCTTTCCTCAGAAGAATGAACATACATTTGTCTTTACAGTTAAAATATCTCCATTGTTTTGGATAACAGACATGTGGTACATCTGACAATTGATATCTTTAGCTTTGCAGAGAACAGAATTTTAGATGTCTTTCAGAGTTTAGATGTGGTGGTGGGGAGGGGCTGTCCATTTTTTTTCCTCTGCCTAATTTTGTTTACCCTGTTGATTCTGCTAGATGCATTAAAATCTCTACAGTTGTTCATAATAGTTATGCATTATATAGTGGTCCTGCAGACAGCTGGTGTGGAGCATGGAAAGGTTCTGACTGGTGAGCCTGACCTCTGGGCTGTGATTCGAAAGGGAATTACCTGATGTAACAGCTCATTGCTGTTGAAGAGGGAAAGGTTTAATTTCTCTTTTCTCCCTTCCTGGCAGTCTCACCCCTTCCTCCTCCACATGCCTTCCTGCTGGAATCTTTGCTGAGCTGACTTAGCTCTTCACCCCAGCAGAAAGCTTTACTTCCTCTGGTTATTTTATTGCTAGATGATTTGACCAATGAAGAGGAATCTGAAAAGCACACAAACCAGTACAATGCAAGAACCAAAAACCGAGGAAAAGAAGTGGAAGAGGAGGAGCTTGACTACTTGGAACCTCCCTCTTGCAAATGTACCTAAACAGTACAGGCTAGTAGATTGAGCTTCTGTATTTAAAGGCAGTGGGACAAAGAGACCAGTTAGGTTCCGCTGCAGTAATTATTCAGCCCTGTGTTAGGGCCCAAATTCAGCCTAACCAAGCTCAAATTCCTGTGAATTTACCGCCACTGAGCAAATGTATAACTATTTCCTTTAATGACAGAATTTATTTTTGCATGTATAACTCACTTTGAACTGTTGTGAGATAAGTAAAGTTTCCTTCTGCAGCTGAGGCAAGATGTGACCAAACAATAGGAAGTCATTCGAGGGAGATATGTTTGTTGATCATCTTGTGAGATAAAATCTTTAATAATATCTCTGCAATAAATAAAGACCCTTCTCAGCTGTTCTTCAGCACACACTAGGCTTTGATCTTTGTTTTGCTTCATTTGGTGGAAAAAGTATTTATATCACTTGTTTACTGTTGTCAAGCATGTCTGGCCTTTTCTTTTTTACTAATAGTTTTGTTTAATTCA